ATAGTATAATATTTGCACAACCTCCGCCATCTGTCCCAAGGGCAGCAGAACATAGTCCTGAAGCTACAATTGCTGCTGGACCTGAGGAAGATCCTCCGGTGTACCTTTCAGGTGCATGAGGATTTCTTGTTGTTCTGCATCCAATTTTATTCGAAAATTTACCAATAAAAAGCAGAAGATTTGCAATAATTTTTGCTAATTAAGGAATCGGACAAGTCATAAATTTCTTTAAAAAAGATAGCCATAAGTAGATATGTTATCAATTAGAAACCTTCTGAAATAGTATACAACATTTTTTACCCATCCTACATTGTTAAACGACAAACTTACCCATAGTTTGAATTATTCCCGGTTGTGCCCATGCCCAACTCGTGCATATTTGCCTTTCCTAAGAAAATTACACCACATCTTCGCAACCTTGAAACACTAACTGCATCCTTCTTAACAGTGTGGACCTCATGCATCCATGTTGTTGCACCTATCACCACATAGACCAAGTTAAGCATATCAATCTTCAAGAGGATACATCAAATAAACATCAAGAAACTGGTGATCATTATTTACCCTTCGATGGGTGGGGAAAGCAGTCAATATCATCCTTAATTGCCATGAAAATACCATCCAAGATGGATAAAGGATTTCCTGCGCAACCAAAAATCAGATGTGAGAGGTCCTTTCATTAATATTTGATGTTAAATTTCGACAAAGCATGAAAAAAATGTCAGAAATTGTAAATTTTTATTTTTTTTTAATCTTAAAAAAAAAAGCTGCAGCTTGCTAATACAGGAATAACATACTATACTATCATCAGAAATACCTTCATCAAACCTTCGTGTAGAAGTCGCAGCTTGCTTTCTGACTTTGTCAACATCAAAAGAAATTAATAGTGGAGTCGGGGGCTTGTCATAGTTAAATTCCTTTATGACAGAAATTATATGCTCTGCTACCTACAAGTAAAAGTATGATTCTTCCTCTTCAATTTATCTGTAAAGAATGAGAATCCCAGTATATGAAGATAACCAACCATTGAAGGACTTGCAAGCTTAGACCGATAAGCATGTGCATAATCGCGTATCTTCCAGTATCGAAAGGATGCAATTAAATCACTATTCCAACGGCTAGCAGGATCATAAAGTTGAAGACACTTCAAGGCTGTCTCAACTCTATCTTCAGGCTTTGCATCTTCATCAACGACGGTAACATCAATTTCTGGTTCTAATTTAACATCATGGTCACAGTCAGCTTTATGAAATGAAAACTGGATTCTGGCATTCACATGTAATTTTTTAACATGTTTCATTTCTCACTTGAAATTTATCTAAAATTTGCTGCCAATCTTGATGCAGATATTTCCTTATTCCTCAACAATCTTTACATTTGAAGATTTTTCAAACAAAAAAAACCATGTATAGTAGGTTTTAATTTGTAAGTATTTATAATCAACAGAGACGCTCAAAAGACATGCCAGCTATTGATTAGTATTAGACAATGTTAAGAATATGATTACAAGCAAATCGTATCTTCAAAAGATTTCAAAGCAAATTAGAATTTGTCTCAAACAGAGAAGAGCCTGCGGAGGCATCTAAAGTACCAGCAGAAAACGTGCACAAGTGCTGATATAGACATTGGCAGTGCCCAGTGGTAAGGCGCTCTATTTTCTTCAAATTATTTATAATTAATCTCTTTCTACTTATTATAGTCTAACTCTTAAGAACTATTCTAATGTTACTGTATTTTGTTTTCCTATAAATAGTGTATCCCATAATTTTCCAAATTAATTTTCTTTTACAGACAAAATACAATAAAGAGCCAAGATAGGGAGAACTTCATTTTCTGTCCATAAGATGAAGCTCCTCCTAAAAACTTAAATATTATAATATACGAAGCCGAAAAGAAAAAAACAATAAGAATCAGAGAAATAAGAGGATAGACCTTGAGTAGGAAATTCAGGCTTAAACATGGGTGCCTCTGGTATCGCAGTATTTTGCAACATCTGCCAATCACATAAGCTCTTTTTAAGTCCTAAGCAACGAACTAACGAAGCCCGTAAAGATGAAAGGAAGAATGTAACACATTAAGAACTTCCTCCGACAAAACAGTTACAGACCTCAACAATCTTGTTCTGTTTCTTCAAGACAGCAATAATCAGAGAACCAATTACTGGTGCCTCAACTAGCTTAACAAACAACTTGAAAATAAGTCCAGTCAAATGCGGAGCTGCAAATCCATACAAACACAAAAAATAAGCTGTCTATACTTTCCGTATATCTTGTACGTAAAAAAGCGAGAAAGGCCGAAGTTCACCTTTGATCACTTCCGGTTCGTACTTGACGGTGGACAAATCCACCTCGTTGGCCGGCAACATCACGCGTTTCTTCCCCATCTGTTAAACCAAAAAAAATCAATTCACATTTCACGAAATCAAAGCCTCCACCAAATCAAAACTCAAGCAATACTATTGAAGAAGAACGAAGTCAGGAAGAACAAGATGTCACACCATGCGGAGTTTAAAAATCAGAAAGATGGAGGAAAATCTGGAAATCAGCCGCACAAACCTGCTAAGAGAGAGTTGTTAGAATGAAAAGAAGAATGTGATGCAGAGAGACGACAAGTTCGTTGTTCTTGTCATCAAATGCTTTGGTTTGTGCGATTGAAAAAGTCGTCGCCAGAAATTGACAGAGACAGAGAGTGACGTGAGAGTAAGAGGAAGCAAGTGCGGACAGTTGAAGTTGTTGAGTGCCATTTGTTGATTAATACGTTGCCGTCTCTTGTCTTTGGAAATCTACAAAATCGTCACAGCGCATTCAATTTCTACCCACTCGCTCCGCATTTTCCTCGGGTCGGGTTATTGAGCCCTGTAGACCCAAATGTTTTTTTTTTCCTAATTATTTATATTTATTCTATTTTTTAAAATATATATATATTATTCATGTTTCAGTAATTATAGATATGGTCGATTCATTTTAATTTTTTATAAAAACTTACAGAATGAAAATTAACATCTATATTTATTAAATACTAGTGATCTATTTAAAAAAAAAATCACATCAAATTTGAAATTGTGACTAATGTATAGTTAAGCGATAATTGTGAATCTAATTTTAATCATGTAATTAAGGCATATATCATACCAAATTTGAATCACATAATTTTGCAGTTAACTAATGATCAACCAAATCAAACTTATTTAAATTAAAAATTATATTTAATTAATTTGACGTAATACATGAGTAAAAAAAGAAGTGTGCAATGGATTGTTTGAGACCAGGTTGGATCAGAGTGAAACTGAAAATGATTTATAATTTAGATCGAAAATATTAAAGATAAAAATAAATTAAGTATTAAAGAAAAAATAAATCAAAATATTAATGAGGAAGAAATTCGATGTATAATTATATCATAATTAATTGTAATTAATGGTCTATAAATTTGTGTAGACAGAATTGTGATATTAATATATATATATATATATATCAATCAAAATTATTATTGAAAAAAAATTAAATTATTTCATAATTAGTTAATTACAGAACCAAAATTTTCAATATTTTTCTGTTTTAATTTAAAAATAATTTTATTGCATCCTCTTTTCTCCTAGCAGCTCCCTCTACGTACGCATGTACACACTTCACATATAACACATACGAAAATCACACATGCACTGGACATGCAGAGTAGGAAACAGGCGGAAGGTCTGCGGAGATGAGAGATCGACGTAGCTGCGGCGTTCGATGGTCAGTGATGAAAGGAAGCATGAGAGGAAAGGCGTGGGGGACAGGTTGACAGAAGTGAGTGAGTAAAAAGAAGCAGAAGCTGGAAAGGAGAAACAAGTTAAGGAGAAGGAAACAGAAGATGAAAATTTTAAAGATTAAGCAAGTTGTCATATTTTGAATGAAAATTTTGGATTGTTTGGTAACGTCCAAGTAGACAATAGCCATGACCAACTAAATTTGGAAGAAGATAGAGAATTATGAACAGCTATATTTAAAAGATATTGAAGATTTTAAAGTATGATTATAATTATGATTATGATTTTTTTTCGTTGAATTTCCAATATGATAATTTTTTTTTATGCATTACTAAATTTTGAATTTCCACTATCATGATATATATATATATATATATATATTTTAATTTTATATGTTATCAAATATTATTTTATTAATTATAAATAATTTTTTTGGTATGTTTCTTTTCTGCATATATTCCCAACTCATGGGAATAAAATGGCAGAAAAAGCTTGGCCGCAAACTTTAGATTCTTTCAAAAGACAAACACAAACTTGTTTGCTATTTGCAGTTTATGAATAGTTAGAGATTTATTTAGAATATAAAATGAACTTATAATTTTATAAATAAAAAATATAAATTTTAATTTATTATGTAAAATTTTGTTATATTTTATAAAATTTATGAAATTCAGAAATGGCAGCACCAAGTAATAAATAATAATGCCACTTTTTTTTTTTTTTTTTTTTTTTGTTCTTTGTTGGAGGAAGCCAACAAAGCTATCTACTTTTGTAACCCAAAGTTAAAGCGAGTCGCTCTGGTCTATTCTTAGATTGCCACGTAACAGAAGGCCGGGATGAGAAAAAATCCACACCACGTGGGCACCGTCCGTGACTCCTTACACTTTCTTTCCTCTCTTTCGCAACGGTCAGCAATCCCCTCTCTTTTCTATCCACGGTCCACACTCGTAATGTGGGGGCCACTGAATACGTGGTCTTTATTAGCTGTGTGTTTCTACGGGCAGAAATTTCTGCCCGTACTTCTCTTGCAGGTCTCTTCTCTATCAACGGCTCTGATTGATTTCTACTTATGATGAAACATGGTTAAGATGACTAAATTAAGCACGCACTCGATCCTCTTAATTAATTTTTTATAATGAAGTTTGTACGCTTTATACGGGTAACTTAGTAAAATCATTTTTTTTATTTAACAATAATAATTTTAGTGAACTTACATAAATTATATATATATATATCAAAACATAAATTGAATTAAACTTCGTTAATGTTGATTTCTAATAATTAATTAAAAAAACTAATGATATAAAAAAATGTGTATATACCCAAATTCAATGTATCAAAAATGAATAGGCCTAAAAAATTTTAAAATATTTGTTGATACCATTTCTTTTTTTTTTTTTTTTTCCCGAAAGATAAAAGTATTGAATTTTCCAACGGAGATGTCAAGAAGCTTATTATTCTTTTCGTCCGGAAAAAGTAGTTTTAAAAATATTTAATAGAGGCTAGAAATTTATCTCGTGACTTGTGGGGATGTTCTAACAATTATGGTAATTTTATATATTTTTTAATCTGATATAGTTTATGTCACATATTTTATTTATGTTGTAAAGAAATAAAAATTAAATATTAATTTAAAAACTTTTTATATTATTAAAGTTTAGAAAAAAATTATTTTTTTATTTGTGTTTGAATAACACCCATATTATTTTAAAATTCAACCATAATTTGGTAACTTCAGTTAATTTCAAAATAAATACGCTTTTATTATTATTTTTTTTTTAAGAATTGTAGGTAAACAGATTAAAAAATCAGAACTTTTTTTGAAAATAAAGTTTGATAATTCAAAAAATTTTACAAATAATAATTAATTTTTGTTGTTGATAAATTTTTTTTTTTTTTTATCATTAAAAATACTCTTTTGACAAACAATACACGCACATTTATTATTTGAACTTTTAAAAAATCTCTTCTTCCTAAATTTCATATAAATTTTAAAAGGAAATATGTGAATGTGTAGAAAAAAAAAAAATGTGGAAAATGCCAAGAGGAGTGAAAGAAAGGTGTGTGGTGTGGACATGTAAGAGTTAGGTGAGTGTACTGTGGTAATGAGCTGAGAATAGTAAGTCATCATTAAACTTTTGACCGTTAGATTCTCATAACTAAAAAAAGCATAAAATAATAATCCAACGGTCACTATACTACTCTTCAAATGTAATTCCGTGGACTTAACCACACAGTAACATTACTCATTCAAAATTTCCTAAATTCGGAAGTACGTTTCCTCATCTGTCTCTCTCTCCATTTCCCCAAGTTACAACACACCACCAGCACTGATTTTATTATTATTATTTCACCTGCAACAGCAAAACAGAATTACAACACCACTAACAGAGAACCACATACACAACAGCTCTGTCTCAAGAAACGTACAGTTTCCTCTCGATTATAGGTAAAACTTTGCTTTCCGAGCCCCAAACCCTAGCTTTTCATTTTTATTCTTTACTCTCTTGGGTAAATTCGGTTCCAGGCATTATACAATGTGGTGATTCCTAAAGTTAGAGGTGTTTCTGATTGCCGCTCCTTTACGTAATTGACTTTCCGTTTGATTGCTAGGAAAATGTCTTTGAAGAAAATTGGGAGATTGGGGATTTTGTGGCCTGGTTGACTGTAATCGAGTTGGGTATGGAAATGATAAGGTTCTGATTTTCGTCGTTTTGCTGTTTCTTCGTTACCAAACGGATGGTTGGTGGTCTTTACTATATTTGTCGGAAGCAATTTCCCCGCCGTGGTGATTTGCTTGTTCGAGTTGTGTGAAATCCTTTCCAAATTTATGGAAATTAGAGCTGAATTTTTGAAGTATTCTTGCGTTTTTTAATGGTTGCATATTTGGTCCTCTGTTTGGTTGAGTTCATTTTGAAGATTTACGTTTGTTAGTTCGTTTGATTTTTGGGGTTTTACTCACTTGATTAATTGAAAAATATTTTGTAGTAATTTTCTCGGTTGGTTTTACTCACTTGATTAACGAAGCTGTTTTACTATTTATCTAAAAATGGATGTGGGCCGATTTCTTTTGGTTTTGCTGGTTCTGTTTTGGGATTTTTGTTGCTGAGAAACTGTCTGATTTTAATTTAACCTCTTTTTTGAGATGTGATTACCTCTCTTGGTGCTTTCTGTTAGATAGACTGAAGTTGAGTTGATTGCTAGTTGAGTGGTAACCCAGATGGTAGGCAGGAGCAAATGACCTTTTTTTGCCGGGGAACGTGGAATGAAATTTCTGTAAGGATACTCTGCAGCTAGATATGCTGAGGACTCGTCTTTAATTTACGTTTCACATTTTAGATAAACTAAGTAAGCAAAACTCAGAACTGATTTAGCTTTAAGTTACCGCTCAAGCATCTAATGACTTTCCTTTTGAAATTTTAAAAGAAGTTCCACATTTTCTAATTACCATATCTCAAGGATCAATTTTATGCAATGGCTTTCATATTAGGTACAATGATCCCTTTCTTGGTGCTGATTTGGCTTTAAAATATTTCAAATACCTATATACAGTGTGGGTTTATGATGTTGATATTATCCGTCTAAGTTAACAGGATTTCCTCATGGTTTTGTCTAGTTATTAGGTAATCCATATAGTGACTCCCAAGATTGTTACTTATACTTGAGGGCAGTAGAAGATGACATTTTTGTCAGTTCTGAAGGGCACATTTTCTTAAAGTTGGCTATCGGATTTCTTGCCTTCATAAGATTGTAACTGCTACTTCGCATTACATGGGGACAACTTCTGATGCTTGCAACAGGGTCACTGTGCTGTGACTGCAGTTTTGTGATGGAGGTGGTTCAATTAGGCCGTTGTGGTTAGCCATATAGGAACTTTGAGATCAATAGAGCTGTGATGGCATGCTAGGGTGCAGTCTGTCATGGTGGTTAAGTTTGTCTCCTGTTGATGGTGGTTGTATTTGGAGGAGTTTAGCATGATTATGTATTGTTATTCAGTGATTTCTATTCAAGTTGTATATCGGTGTTGTTATTTTCTAGCCTATGTATTGTAGCCCAAAATATTGACGATTTTTTTCAATCAGAAAGTGCTTCCGAACCATGCATAGAGACATTATTCAGGGGCTTTTCTAAATTGCATATTATATGGATATTTGTTATGATTTGTGGAGTTTAGCATTTACTCTTTTTGAACTATAGGAAGATCACTCTAGTTTGGCCAAACAAGAACAAAAATTTGTAATTTAGTTAGCATGTTATTCAGATGAAATATAAAACATGGCTGTGACCTAGATTCTGTCAATTGTTCTGCCAGGTTTAAGTTTGCAGATTCTGCACACAACAGCCTCATGACATCCTCTGTTCAAGACTTTTCTGGTACTTCTCGTTTAAATCTTGACTAAATTTACGCACATATATTTCTTCTTTAGTTCTTTAGCTCCAAAGTTCAGATATTAAATCTGAGTGGTGCTTTATTGTCACATTGAAATGAAGCACTGATATATCCAATGTGTCTTATATTTCTGCTTCCTTGCTGCAAATCATATTGTTTTACCTGGAAAAGGTATCCTGTTTGTAGGTATAACCATCTTGTCCATGAATCATGAGACTTTATTTTTCTAGAAATTTTTTTCTAATGAGGTGAAATTACTTCTAGATGACCCATACTTCCTCTAGTCTAAACTGTATGAAACATTGGTATTTCTTTTGGGCCTTCTCGATAGTTTTATCTTTTGAGGAATGTGTAAAATCCTGCAGTTATCTTCTCTAGGTGGCAGAACCTTTGTGCTATTAATAAATTTCTTTTTTTTTTCTCTCAAATTTTTTGGTGAAAATTTAGTTTCTAAAGTAAATAAATTGAAGAATATTTTCAAATCCAACTTTCTCTCTTAATTGTACTTTATGGAAAGGGTTGACCATCTTGTTCAAGTTTTCATTTTTTTGCTCATGGACTTCCTTCTTTCAACTAGAAAAAAAAGAAAAGAAATCTCTATGGTTGCTGTACTGTCTTTAAGGAGTAGAGGTTCATGTGGAATATATTTCATCTATTTGAGTGATGATTTGTGATTTTAACTCGCACCTTCTGAATCTTGATGGTTGGATTACTTTTTGCTCATGGTCTGAGAAACTGTTGGTCAGATAACAGTGAGAGTGATGAGCAGCGAAAGCAGTCAGAATCACATATCCAGTCCTCACCTCCTGCACCTGGATTAGCTCACCCTGGAATCACAACCCCAAATGTCCAATACCCAATGCCTCCTCAACTAGCTGGACATGCTGTGGTAATATCTTTAAGATGATTTCTTTAGCATCCTGTGTCTTTCAAACTTCCTTCCAGTTTTTGTTCGTAATACTTGACTTGCATTTTTCTTATAATTATATTGTGAGTGTTAGAATCTTTTGGTTATGTCTATATCTCTGTTCGACAATGTTAAATAGTTCTCTTCCAATGACTATATCATAGAATTTCCTGATCAAATTAATTTCTAAATGCATTTTTTATGTTTGTTTCTTCATTCTTATATTTTTTTATTAATGATCTGCAAATTATTGTTTCCACTAACTTAATTTACTAAATCGAAGTACAATTTGCTTTTGGTTTTAACTTTATAATTTCAATATGAAGAAATGTGAGTGTTATTTCATGCTCTGGTACGAATAGGGGCACTTGATTTTATGAGTTAAAATAATGATTTGGTTCATGTATTATTTACTTTTGTTCAAATTAATCTCTGCCTCATTTTTTGGTCAAATTAGTCCCTGTAACTTTGAAAGTTTTTGGTTTAGTCCCTCCCTTTAACAGAGGTTAATACCATTAACTTAGAGCATCATGTGTCAAACTTATTGACATGTGACACCTTCTTATTGATCCAAGTGTTGGTTGGATGTCATGGCAGATATCATATGGCAGTTGACGTAGCAGAACAGGATACCGATACAAATTTAAAAAAAAAAAACAAAAATCTCTAATTAAGCCACCTTCTTCTTCTTCTTCTTCTTCTTCTTCTTCTTCTTCTTCCTCCTCCTCCTCCCACGCTCCCCCCAATCTTGCGCTGATGCAGTTGATAGCAATCTGGCTCCACCATCAGTAGCAATATGAAAGCTCAATGAAGAAAGAGACTCACTCGACAAGGTTCCTGAGCTGGCGGAAGACACTGACGAGACAAAAAATGGCAACACTCTCAAGCATAGCTTCTGGATCATCTTTACCCGCAGCTCTATACAACTATGGATCCGCGAAGCTGTACTCATTCCTTATCTGGTATCTTGTCGAAGACATTCTCCTTTAATTCTTGAATTGAATACAAAAAATATTGCAGTAGAAGTGCTAATTTCTAATATACCAGGATCCGTTGCTTCGATCTCTAACTTTGGTCAGAGAGAGAGAGAGAGAGAGAGAGAGAGAGAGAGATTTCTTCAAGGTTTGGGATATTGAATGAATATACATTGGTCAGAGAGACATGTGAAGAGATGCTTGTGGGAGTGAGAAAGTACTAAACGAGAATACTATTCATTTTCTCTTCTTGGGAAAGAATGAAAATGGGAAACGATGCAAGTATCTTTATGCTGTTGTTGCATGCTTGTTGCCGCTTATAATGCACTTGCTGTATCGGCAGCGCCAGATTGCTATCAACGAGTTCAGCAAGAGAGTGTGGGGGGGAAGGGGGAGCGTAGGATGAGGAGGAAGAAGAAGGCAGCTAAGGATTTTTTTTTTCCGTTTAACCGGTCCAAGTTAAAAGAAATATCACGTCAACTGCCACGTGGCGTCTAATGTGGCATTCAACTAATGTTTGAACTAAAAAGAATGTGCTACATTGCAATAACATGTGGCACCTAAGTTGATGGTATTAATTTCTGTTAAGAGAAGAGTTAAAAAAAAAAATTCAAAAATATTAGAAATAAGTTGATTGAAAAATGAGACTGAGACTAATTTGAACAAAAATAAGTAGTACAGAGACCAGATCTTAGTTTTGGCAATTTTATGTGCACTAGTGCCATGTGTTTAGACAAAGGGAAGTTCTTTTGGTTATTTTTTAGGTTAAATATATATTAATGACAATATTGTATATGTTTTTTCTTGGAAGAACAATCATTGTAATTGTAACTTATCTGATTATGAGTGTTTGTCTTTTGCAAATTATGTCTATATGAGTGTTTATTTTCTCAATTAGATATTTTCCTCTTTGCTTTGAAGCTTTGATTAAATATCAAACAATATGCTGAGTCTTAGTAAAGCTTCAGTTACTGTATAGATGAGGAATTGATGAATAATAAAGGCAAATTTCTGTGTCAGTAATTGTCTAGGAGACAGTTGTAGGTGGACATAATGTTTTGTTGGTAGAGGAAGCTGAGTTTGTGAAAATTTTATGTGATCTCCTCGTAGTTTTTCTTATCAGAGACCCTTATAGTTGATTCAACTTTTTGATCACTCTCTTTCCTTCATTCTTATACCTGTTAGTTCCACATAATAATATCATTATGGTTTCCTCTGTCTGCTTTTTATGCTTTGCTGCCAGTTTGCTGGGATCATCATGATTTTTTGTGTTCCTTATGTTAGCTTTCTCAATCTTGTTTCTCCCTCTCTATGGTAAATTTTCATCCTTATCTTAGCACTAGCAAGTAGCAACTCTTCAGCTCCCATGCTACTTCTGATAAAAGGCTGAATAAATCTGAATAACAGATGAGATTGATCTCTCCAATGATCTTTCCACCAATGTGTCCTGTTGCTTTTCTACAATTTCTTGTCCTTAAATTCAGTCTTTCATTCTGTCCTATAGGTGATTTTTAATCATCATTAAGCATATAAACTTAGCATTTTCTGTTGGTTTTGTGGTGAGCCAAGAAGGGCAATTATGGAAATTGTCTTTCATCGTTTTCTATTCCCTCGATTTCCATATAATGAATATGAGAATGAGGATTATAAGTTCCTCATTCTTCATTCTAATGCCCCAGTTCTCTAGTGGGATTGAAAGCTACTGGATGGAGTCGCAAGTAATTACCTGTGCAGCTGAACACTGCTGCTGTAAGTTGTAAATTACAATATTTTTCTTCCTTTCCACTAAGCTTTTGAAGATGCATTTGTCATGGGCTTCTTAATTGTTTGCTCTAAGATTCACCTTCCTACTGACAATTAGTTCTGGATGATGTTCTAGAACTGAACCAGATGGTGCAAATGAAAGTTAAGAAAGTAAAACTAGGAAGTTGATGCATAACCTATTTCCTTGGTGCAAAAGATTGAAAATAATTCATTTTCTTCTTTGGCTTTTGCAATGAAGGCACCCGGAGCTTATCCTTATCCAGATCCTTATTACAGAAGTATCTTTGCACCCTATGATGCACAGCCATATCCTTCTCAGCCCTATGCTGGGCAACCAATGGTATGTTGTTCATCTATGTTTGATTCTTTAAAGACTTATTGGTGAAATGGTAATTGTTACTTTGACAAGCAATTACATGCATAAAACAATTACACTGTTTCTAGGTCCACCTTCAGTTGATGGGAATTCAGCAAGCTGGAGTTCCTTTACCGTCAGATGCAGTTGAAGAACCTGTGTTTGTCAATGCAAAGCAATATCATGGCATCTTGCGACGTCGACAATCTCGTGCAAAAGCTGAAACAGAAAATAAAGCGATCAAGTCAAGGAAGGTAGTTCACGAACAGCAACAGAATTACTTTTTTAAGAAGTCAAATAACCTTGCAGGATGGTCAAAATAAATGTGGATTGTCATTGGTCATTTAAGTCTCTTTACTATCCCAGCTTCTCTTAGGTTCAGTGTTACTTGTGCTCTTGCAGCCATACTTGCATGAATCTCGGCATTTGCATGCACTAAGAAGAGCTAGAGGATGTGGAGGCCGGTTCCTCAATTCCAAAAAGAATGAAAACCAACAAAATGAGGCAGCATCAGGTGACAAATCTCAGCCCAGTATCAACCTCAACTCTGATAAAAATGATATTACTTCAACAAATGGTACATCTTGAGATTTCATAATTAGTGACACAATGGACATGCAAACAATCATCTGCAAATGATTGCACTGGAACTGAGGTCCTATGCTAGCCTCTGTTTTCTCAGTGTTGCTCATTACTGCTGTATTACTTACGTTGTGGTTAGTATGTATAGAGGCTTTCAATGTAGTAGGTCCGTAGGGAGGCTGCAGGCAAGAGGCGTTAGTATCATGAGGTTTGGTTATAGTTCTCCAGGAAAAGGGAATTTTCTTTTTCCAAGACTTTGTGCTTTTTTATCCCGAAGGGGATGATGGTTAAGTTTGTTGTGTGTGGTGCACTAGTTTGGGCATTATACTGTAGGTGATTTGAGGGTTTTTGGTCTAACAGAGTATTGTGGCTTTGTTGGGTTTGATTATGTTAGCTTAAGGTAAGATGTGTATTAGCTCTTTCATTTGTTATTATTGGTGATGGATAATAAGATGGCATATTTGGTTAATGGAGTTGTAGGCTTTCCGTGTCTGGTATATTTGCTTACAGGTGCTTTCTCATTTTCCTTAAACGTGATTTTCATCTGATTAATTTACTAGGATGGAAATAATAAGAATCGAAGGTAAACAACAGAGATAAGAACCTGGTTCTACGGCCCCCGGACTGACCGGACACAGCCCGTGACCTGGATCAGACTGGACTAGGCTTTGTTTTTTTTAAGGGGGAAAAAAACAATTTTTTCTTAAATTTTTATTCTTGTTTTTATTAACTTTAATTATTCTTTATCGAGTGACAAAACAAAATGTGGTGAGTTCATTTGGCCCGGTCTAATTTGGTATAATTTATATATTTAAAAGCTTTAATTAATTGTACTTCGGAAAGAGTTTCTGTCAACTATTTCTAATTTCTGTTGGCTGAAAAGATTCGCTGCACTGGGAATAAAAGAAATCTGATTAATATGCAAAATGAATTGGTACTGTGAAACATTGCATTGCGTTAGAGATACAGAGATTTGGTTATACAGCTTATTTTGATATTTTTTGTTGTCAAAATTTTATTTCTATCTTTTAAGTTTTAATTTGAAGATATACTATATAAGAAAATATGCAATTTAATTTTCTCCGTAGAGACAGGTTATTATTGTTATTAATTACGAATTAAAAAAATTTAATTACCAATAAAAATTTTATTTCTATAAAGAGTTTATTTAGCTCAGTGGGTATTTGTGATAATACGTTCCCCTTACGACATTTCAAATAAGAACTCAAATTCCTACCTTGTGAAATACATATCATCAAAAAATCCGAAGTCAACTCAAGATGACCTAATGATAACTCAGACAACAAAATAACTAATATCTTGAATTATTCATCTACGATATAAAAAGTAAAATTGAAAATTGAGTAATACATCAAATTTGGATTGACACGGCATCATTGCTAAGCCTTTTTTCTCGGCTATTCTTCCTAGCAAACGGGCTACAAACTGCTTCCTTTTAAGCATTCCTAGTTTTCTGAAAAGTGAGAAGAGTTCCTTTTTAAGTCATATTTTGTTTCAAGTTTGCGAACCACAATCTGTTCAACCAACCTTGCAACTGCAGCATCTACCACCCTTGAAAACCACGCACACAATGGCCTAACCAAAGATCACCCAAACTCCTAACTGGTTTCTAGTAAATTAGCTTTTTCTTTAAAGACTGCACTAGAAATTCTTTGAAGGACCGTTACCACAATTTATCAAGTGTCCTACAAAATTGTACCATAAAAGAAATGTTTTCATTTTTTCCTCAACCTCGAGTAACTCGTAGATAAGTAAAATTCTCAGTGATCTCAGGCAGATTTCAACTTGGCTGATGTTGACGACAGGTATGAAAGGATCCTGTGTCCCACAAACATAAGGAACACTCCCAAGAACCCAAGTGCCTTCAATGTTGTAAATAGATCCAACTGTGCAAAAGACAACAGATGATAAAACAAGAATTAGAAACTCAAACACAAGAAAACAAAATAAGAAGATTTTATGTCTTGATTTTCAGCCCTATTCTTAAATGAAGTTGGGAAAATTAACTTCCAAAACCTAGTGTACATGCATGCACTATGCGTCCAAATATAATTCTTGGTCTGCCTACAAATAAAAATGACTGTACATTTTCAATAGTCTTCATGAAACTAAAATTTTCTTCTTTTTAAGATTTTTCTTTTTTTTTTAATTTCAAAATAATCTTTCCTTTTAAGATTATTAAGGGATTATGTTTTTCTTTCCTAAGGGAATATAAAAACTGGAAGGCAATCCAAGACTATTTGCTCAAAGTTTCCATCTGGCACACAGATAGAAACTTTGAGCAAACAAAAACTACAAAGTGAAAGGCTAACCTTCAACCAGAAAAACACATATAGCACCAGAACTGCTCCAATGCCCAAATGGAAGAGGACTGCAAATGTCGCAGGGAGAGCCAAAGAAGGAAAATTCTTCAGGTTCACCCCTAGCCGCAATAGCTGTCAGAAAAAATTAAAGCAAATAAATATTAATTCACTGCCCAAGAATATGAAAATGTCCAAACATGATTGGACCACAGTGATCCGTCCACATTGTAATGAGGGCCATAGAGAATGCTAATATTTTCCATAGATGGATTTCACAGAAAGAGTTCATTTGGAAATCCAATTTTTTGTTCTAATCATAAAATTATAAATTGGCAATAATTTCCATATTTTTGTTGGACCAGTTTGCTCCAGACATAGTGTAAGTATATACTATAGGGATTTCAATAACTAATAAAGATTCACTTCCCCCAAGTAAACAAAAGTATTGGCTAGAACTACTGATCTCAAGAGTCCATTCACTGAACAAACACCTATGCCAACAGTCGTTACACAGGCAGGTGCAACAGGCCACAAACAGCACTCAAGCACGCACATATAAATGAACTGGCTGTCCATTCACATGAAAACCCATGAGAGCATGCAGACAAGTGCAGATGCAGAAAGACCTTGATAATTTTATCTCAAAAATCACTATTTAAACAACTTCCCGAATGAGATCAACTTCCACATGCAGCTCAAAAGGTCTACCATTCTATTTCTAAGGCTCCTAGCACTGTCAACACACTATCTGAGCTACCAAAAATTAAAAAAGAAAAAATACCACCTGCATAGTCAACCATAAGGCAAAAAGTGGCCAAAAGGGGAGGAAGGGACAGGTGCAGAGAGAAAGAGACTTCTTACCCCAATCAAGAATCCAATAAATGGCAAGAAGGTAAGTCCCAAGAAAGTAAGAGACAACTCCTTAGGTGGACGCTTTTCAGGAGCCTTAAAAATGTGAGTTATCTCTGCTTTAGGCCCATATCTCAAATAAGGATCGACAGGCTGTGGTGGAGGATGGAGCGCCTTCTCAGGAGGTTCTGGTAGGTCTAACTCAACATGGCCGATAGCCCGTAGTAAAGAGTTCTCCTGAGCAAAACAAAGAAATGTTTCCTCAAAATGTTGAACTAAAACTCAAGAAAATTTTATTAGGGTAAAAATAAAGCTTACCATGACAGCATCACCGACAGTTAGCTGAATGTCATATCTACCAGAAAGATAGAAGAATTTCTCGACCAGTCCAAGGAAATCCTGAGAAAACATTTAAATGCAGTTAACATAATGAAACTAGATTTTTTCCAGCCATAGCAAACTGTTTCCAATGTTTTGTTTTCATTGCAAGAGCATGCTGAATTTTGTGAGAAAGTGAACAGCAACCAGGGAAATTCTGATGCAATTTAAATAAGCAATTCAATCTTAACTCAGAAACACTACAAGTTTCAAAGATGCTGAACAGAATTTGCAGCTACTTATGAAAAAGAAACAGTTTTTGCATGTGCCTATAAGAATAATTCAAAGAAAGGGTACGGAACATCTCACAACTCTTGGGAAAACTTTTAATAAACCATTAGATCGTTCAAACAATTCCAAATGTTTCTATCTCCCAATTCATGCAAAGCCATAAAAAATTTTAAGCACAAGACTTCCTCCCTAAGTAATCTGGTTAACCAGACAATGTTAAAGAACAAACAAAACCAAACCAGTCGAGAAACTTAACTAGAACAATTTCAAACTTCTTTCCAGAATTCCCAACCACAAATACATGCTCGACCTTGGACTCATGTTTCAAACTCAGAAATGCCTGCAGGGAAGAAAATTGTCAATAAGTTGTAGAGAATATATCATCCAAAATGTCAACAGAGATTTATAAACCTGATGTGGCTTAAAAGCACGCTTGAGAGGAGTTGTCAACTGAAAGGATAGGCGGAGCTTCTGAAGGTGGTTAGCGGATAATGATACAACATCATCTGCAGCTAAATCTAATCTACATAAATGCAGGACGTAGCCATTCGTGAATAATGAGATCAAAGTTCAGAAAATAAATAAAGAGGCAGCAAAAGAAAAGCTTCCTGAATACAACCAAACATATGAAGATCTCTTACATAACATGTATCTAACCACACAACACAGGCAAAGGAGAACATATTTAAAAAAGTAAGCAACATACTTCTTTTGTGTTTCTATACTTCCAAGATCACTGTCAAGTACTGCAATCTCTGCATTCTCAATTATGATAAATCCCGTAACAAATACTGGTACTTCAGTTTTGCCCCCAGTAGCATATACTGTCTCATGCTCAGGATCATGAAGCACAATCTATTGATATCCAAATTCATCAGATTACAGACAAAACATCATGTGAATACAAGCTTTAAAGATTTTAAAGAGAATAATCATGATACCTCAAATACGAAAATATAATTTCCAACATCAACATTCTTAGGCAAAGCATCCAAGACATGTACTGCACTTCCAGGGTTAACCTTAAGTTCCTGCATCACAAAGGTTAGGTAAATACCAATATAAACTAGTTGAAAGTAAATGCATACCAAGTGCTAAATCCTGGAAATATACTATAGTCAGTGGAAAGTACAATTCACCAAGTAGCAGCACGCCTTTACCTGACTCTCAATTATGGAAGCATCCTTTGCACCAGATTTGAATGCTTGCACAAGCTTCACCGTTAGGGCTGGTGCAGTAGAACCAAG